GAGTGCTTTTTACCGGACAAGGGAAGTGAATTTACAATTTGGCTACGAGGATCTTTTTACATCATCGCCAGCTGTCCATCCCCACTGGATTTGTAAGTTGATTCCGGCTTTGTGAGAAGGGACGCTGACTGAATTTTAATACACTCGTGTCTTTTTTCATTCCACCGCAACATTTTTGCTCGATTTTAACAAATTTTAAGTCTGCGAATGTAAAAAATTGCCTCGGATTATTAGACGCCGATGGCCGCAATAAAATTAGGAATTCTCTTCGGGCTTTGGTCGTTGGTTGCCAAGCGACGCTGGCCCTAACATCGATACGAGGATGTTCGATTCACAGATTAGACCTATTTTACACATTTCAATTGCTAATAGGTCTTTCCGGATTATGTACATATGCAGTTTCTCAGCCGACAAATGTTAACGCAATTACCCAAATTGGAGACGATAGGGATTTTTTACTCACACAGGAATCGATAAAAACTTTGCGTGGGATCCACTCGATATTAAACTGACCGTATTAAAGTGGCCTTCGTGCAGATAAAGACGATAGATGCGACGTAGTCGAGATAAGACTGACCCCTTCGAAGATAAAATCGAGAAAAGTTATTGATGGTCATCGAGATTATCCGCAGTTATGGGTTGTCTCCTGGTCATTCTTATGTTTTAACTAGATTGCTGTTGTTGGAACGACGATTTATTGGAGTGACGGGATAAGACGAAATATGGATTTCGGGCGCCGAGTGGATGGTGTTGTTGCCCTCTTATGGTAATTCGGAACTGTTATTACCCAACTTGTTGTTTTTAATAACGACTTGGGGAAGGAATCTTAAACAAGACGAATGAATAATGAACAGTATGGTTGAGGTTTATATGTATTTTCAACACGAACTTTTTTTTGTTTTATACAGAGTGCGTCGAAACTCGCGTCTCAGAGAAAAATGTCATGTAAGGTGAGGTACCAGGAACATGGAAGAAATGTTTGAAAAATTGTATCTATAAAAATTTCGAAATTATGAAAGTTTGAATTTTGCAATTTGACTCTATTTATTTCTATTGGAAAAATAATTTTTTAATAAGTTTTTTTGCTATAGGTTGTTAGAAGAGGAAACAAGGAAGTTGTATTCTAAATTGTAACTCTGTTTAGTGTTGTTTGTGGCTTTTATGGGCAAAATTTTTGTACCTTTACTAAATAATTATAAAAAAACTTACAAAATTATTATTAAATAGACATAAAAAATGTCAAAAAATAAAAAAAAAATTAAATTTTTTAAATATTTTTTCCATGTTCCTAGTATCTCATATATCTTAATTGAAATTTTTCTCTGGGACGCGAGTTCTGACACACCCTGTAGTTATAAGAAATAATATACAGCGTTTTTCAAAACTCATTCTATAGAGAAAAATTCCAAGTAACATAAGATACCAGAAATATGGAAAAAAATGAACTGACTGAACTGAGAATATCCATAATATCATGTAGACACTTCAGCTTTTATGTTGTCGGATTTAATTTTTTGTGGACTTTACTAGTTTGTTAAATATTTTGTACACCATAAGACACAAATTGCTGTTTTTTTTCAACAGGTTTTTTGTTTAATGTTGCAAGATCTGTCGTTTCCGCTAACTAAATTCAAGAATACATGATCTAAACGGACAAGAACTTAACCTATATCTTGTGAAGAAAGGAAAAAAAAGCTCAAACAATAAATTTTTTGTCATGAGAACTTTTAACTTTGTTGAGACTTTTGAATCAGCTGTATAAAAATTTCTTTATTATGTGGCTTTAAACATTTTACTTTGACTTTATTTATTTCTGTTCGAAAAATAATTTTACATGTTTTTTTGCTGTAGGCTATTAGAAAAGAAACCAAGAATGTTTAACGTTATTATTGTGACTTTTATTGGCAAAGTTTTTGTACAGTCGTGGCCGTTGAAAACTAAGACACTTTGACAAATCCAAAATTTTGTCATTGTAAATGCCCTGAAATTGAAGTTTCTAAAATGTCATTCAAATAATACGAGTAGAGTAGAAAACTTTACTTCAAAACAATGAACTTAAATTTTGTAGACAAAATTAACTAATATTCTATTGCAGCACCATTCGAATCTGAAAAATTGAAACTGACATTGTTATTTTTGATTTTTAATTTACACTGTACACATTTTTAAAATAGTAAAGAAGTTAGTGTCTTAGTTTTCAAGGGCCGCAATTTGCAACTGTACCGTTACTGAATAATTATGGAAAAACATATAGGTACAAGACATAATATTAAAAAAAATATCACGTATTCTAATAAATTACTATCCAGAGCTAGAAAACTAGGCGTTCTTTTAGTTAAATGATTTGCTTTCAGAAAAAAATTATAGGTTCTATGAGAATATAATTATTTTTAAAACTAAAGTTTGTGTTTCGTTTTAGTACTTTGCATTTTTTTGAATGCCAAACTATTACACAAATATCGATTCCTATTTAGCTAGTTGTGGTTTTTAAATCATAATTAAATCATTTGTCGAATTTTTTTATATAAGATTGTTTTAAAAAATTAATAAAATTTGCAAACCTAAGACCAAAACAAAAATGTATTTACAAAACATGATCACATTTTTATAAAACTTTATTCTTCCCCATCAAGTTTTGTCAGAAAGTAAGTTTGATTTTCAGCCTTATTCTGTATGTTAAACAGTTCACATTTGAATTGAAAATAATAAAACCAGTTGTCTGTTGAAAGTTTTATTTATTTCTGAAAATACATATGTGGTGGTTGAGTTGTGCAGGTAATAGTTGTGAGCAGAATTCTCGCAAATAAAGCACTTGGAACAAATATCGCAATGACGGTCTCTAGTTGTAGCGTTTTGCCATACCAGTAAAATAACAAAGTCTGGCAATGTTGTTAATGGAATGTTAATTATGATGCCAGTGACACATTGTACCGAATTCCAGCACTTGCGCGCACGATATGATCGGTTCGCCCCTGAAAACCAGCCACAATCTCCCAAAACGCCCCTAAATATTGGAGATGAGTTCATATTTGTTGCATACCTTCATGCATCCGGCGACAAATATGCATCATTGGCATTGCTCGAACTATTACTAAATTTCAAAACCATCGAAAATATTACTAAACCGACGAGGTGAAACAAGGAAACAATCAACCGGAAACGGGTGCCTAAGTTTGTTTAATTGACGTCAAAAGCGCCCTCTGCGGAGCAATAACCTGCGTCTTAATTACCCTCTAATGAACACCTCATTCCGCGCCCGCTTTCTTACTCTTTATTGCCTCGAGCACACAACTAACTTATGTCTATTGATTTATATTGTTATTGTTATGAAACCGGAGGGGGTTGTTACAACCCTTCAAAGCAATAATAAAAAAAATAAATGGAATTCAAATTTTTTTTATTTTATAAGTGACCATAAGTGCAAATACAAATTTGGAAAAAAATTAAGATCCTCCTCTATTACCGCTTGGTAGGGGAGGGAAGAACGGCGGGAAGAAGATTAGTTCTTCAGCAGTTCCATTTAGATTCAGCGAACCACTTCCAGAACTACTTGCTGTAATTAATTTAATTTACTTTAATTAATTATTTTTTACAAGTACTTACACTGTGCTGTAATTTCTAGAATGAACATGACGGCTACTACCAACACAATAACAAACTGGGTGTTAAACATTTTATTTTTATTTCTTGACTTCTGTTGAGTTATTTTGAATGAACTGATGAAGGCAAGGTACAATTGTGTCTATTTATAGTAAAAGCGTCACTAATGAGAATAATAAATTATGGATTTTTTTACTACTAACAGGCATTTTGTACTGAAAAAAAGAATACAAAAGTCATAAATGTTGGTTTTTTATCATGTTGTACCTTTTGATGTTGCTTGTGGTGTGTAAATTTTCAATTTTATTTTAAGTATAAATAGATAAGAAAATAGAACACAGGAAAAGCCATAAATCAGTTTAAAAAAATTATGTTAAAATTTGTCGGTAGTACACATATACTGGTCATTGTTCACTTTTTTTCTCTTCTCTTCTAAAGAGTCTACTTTGTGTTTTTGAGGTGCTGAATGCAAATTTAAAAATTGTTTTAACTTTTAGCAGAAAAACTTTGAGAAAATCACTTTT